CGTTCACAGGGAATGGCGGAAGACGGATCGAGCTCTTCCCGTCCCTCTCACCCCACCCCACCCCACCCAACCAACAAGCCCGAAATAGATGTGGATGGCCACGAAGAAGGGCGCGGCTCGGGCGCTCGACCTACCTGGACCCACCCCCCCCAAAATGCCCGAGGCGAAATGAAAAACTTGTCAAGATAACCGGTAGTCTTAGGAGCCATAGCTAGGAGAGTCCTAGCTAGGCAAGAGAGTTTAGGCGAAAGAGGAGGGTTGCACTAGCAAGAATGGGGATACAAATAGCAAACCCTAGAAGGGTTGTACTCGCTACAGAGCACCCCACTACAGGCTAGAGCATAATATTCTGACACACCCCCATAGCCAAAGTGGGGTGTAATCAGCAGAGCAAGCAAAGCAGTACAAGCTCAGGGTGGATCACAATGTCACCACACATTCTGAGCACAAGTTTAAGAAGCAATAGTTTAAAGTTCACAATTATGAGCAAAGCTAGTGGTAGTCACAACGGGCAAGTGAGGAGGAGGAGGGCTGGCGAGAGGAGAGTAGATGGGAGGCGACGACTGAAGCTGCAGGCACACGGGCAACAGACGGCTCTGGTGCGACACAGTGGCTACCGGGAGTGAGTGCCCCGGAGTACAGGAGTAACAGGCTCCGCGGCTAAGACGAGCAGCAGGAGCAACGGACCCACAGGCGACGGCGCAACCGGCTCTCTGAGCTACCGGGAGTGAGTGCCCCGGAGTACAGGCGCTGCGTACGACACGACGGCAACCTCCCCTCAACCTCCCCCAACAGTCCCACACCCCTCGACACACACCCCCTGCTGAAACCCTAGCTCCACTCCCATGGCACCCCCCTTAAACCCTAAACCCTCGGCTCCCACACACCCACCCCCCTGAGCAGCAGCTGCAGCAGTGGGAGACGGAGGAGGAGGAGGAGCAGGGGACGGCTCACACTCACGGCACCCCCATACCCTCCACCCCCAAACCCTAACACAGGAACGCGGGCAGTAGCGGGGGTGGGGCGCCGGCAGAAGCTCGGGGGACGGACGAGGCGCGCGCACGGGCCTGCCGCAGGCCGGACGAGGCGCGCGCGGGCTGCCCGGGCCGCGCGCGGGCCTGGCGCAGGCCGTACGGGCCGCGCGCGGGTCCCAGGGGCGCTTCGACGGGCGACGGGGGCGTTTCGACGGGCGACGGGGGGCGCTCCGACGGGCGACGGGGGCGCTTCGACGGGCGACGGGGGGGAGCGCTTCGACGGGCGACGGGGGGCGCTTCGACGGTGGGAAACCGCCGCGCGCCTCGGGGCGCACGGCGGGCGGGGCGCGCGGCGGGAAGAAAAAACGAACATCGCGCGCCACGGGACGCGCGACACACAGGAAGGCAGCGGAAGCAGGCGGGCCCACAGGCCAGGAGCGTAACCGCTCTGATACCATGTCAAGATAACCGGTAGTCTTAGGAGCCATAGCTAGGAGAGTCCTAGCTAGGCAAGAGAGTTTAGGCGAAAGAGGAGGATTGTACTAGCAAGAATGGGGATACAAATAGCAAACCCTAGAAGGGTTGTACTCGCTACAGAGCACCCCACTACAGGCTAGAGCATAATATTCTGACAAAACTACGACCCAGCTGGACCCGGTGCTTGGCCGTTTTATCTATTTCCAGATAGATAATTGGCGAAGGGTAACCAGTTCGCCAGCCTTTTTCCCAGCGTGAACAGTTGACGGGGAAGACGGTTACCGCATCGCCGGGCGTGAAAAAAGACGACCAAGCGTTAGATCGCAAGCGGCTGACGACAGCCGCGCGATACAGTGTGGTGTAGTTGATTGTTGAAATTCTGTCAGTCTGTATAATTGTTTCCATGGTTTTCTTTCCAATGCAATGTTGTATTAGTGAATTGTGTGAATGATGGGGTGGTTTTAAGGGGGGTTTTTTATGTTTGAAATGGACAAAGCATGTCTTCAGGTATCTATTCAATGCCGTTTCAGTGTTTTTTTTTGCATGGATGGCCATACAAATGCCTGAATTGTGGAGCTCAAAATGGTCATTTTAAGGGGGTTTTATGGACTTTTTGTTGGTTTTAAATGGGTTTTTTTTTTTGATTCTGTCTCCTCTAGTACTGCTCTACTTGTTTTTTTTTTTTTTTGAAAGTTTGCAAATGTTGCACTTTTTGGTTCATATTAGCCAACTCAAGTATGTCAGTAGTACATGCTAGGTCATTCTTTGGCAATCATCAAGTCAACATTGTTTTTTCTTATTTGTTATTTCATGGCATTCAATGCAATGTTAGGCTTTGAATGCCCTGCCCATCACACATGCCATGTCAAACCAACGATGATGTGTGAGAAAATGGGGAAATTGTATGATGATTTGCTAGGGTGTTTTCAACGTCTATTTGCTGTGTTTCTTTATGATGACTTAGATGTTTTCCACCCCCAACAAACGTTAACATGGTGTCCTAGTGCTTCCATGGGTTTGAACCTTTGGGTTTTGGTCAATTAGATTATTTTTACATCGATTACAAGTACGGTCGGTTTGTGGAAGGTAGCATATATATTTGATTATGGTTTTCAATGTTTTGTTGTTTTGGAATCGTGTGCCTTACGCCTGGATTGCCTCCTTGCATTGTGCTTTGTGGTGTGGGGTTTGGGGAAATGGTATGTGTTTAGTTAGGCCTGCTTGCAATCTTGGTTGTTTAAAGTTAACACATTATTGTGCTAGGTGTAGTTTGTAGTAGCGCATTGAATGGGGTGGTCATTTTCGAGAGTGGAGGTAAGATTCGCGTGACTTCCCCGAAATGGAACTGCTTGTTCGGCGCATACGAGGTACATTTTCGACGAGCCCGATGCAGCGAAATTAGTAGCCCAATTTCGAGTTGAATAATAGAGATCGGGCGACTGAATTTGGGCAAATTTCGAAATCGACCGTCCTTGCATGGACTCGAATTCGAAATCACTGACCTCCACGTGGCGGCTCAGGATAACTCTCGAAATTGGCATGGGGGAGATGGTTATTGGTCGGATTCTGTCGTTGTCAGATTTTCAGAGTGCAGCACAAGATTGAGATTGTCCCGATACGAGGGCTTTAGATCGCAGGTCAGTATGGGTTTCATGGCCTGGGGTGGCACTGCCATTGATAAATGCAACCTTTTTTGTCGCCACAACCATACAGGGTCGAATGTTTGAACACGACCTCAAAGTCCAGGCTCAGGATGGTGTTGGGCGGGTATAAATGCCCAACAGAGGTCATTTTCTCATTTTACATCTTCTCCTTCAGTTTTTGTCCAACTTCTTCCTTAGATCCCAGCCTCCCAGCTTCCACCACTTCGTCAATGGAGCCTTCGATGGAAGTAGAGGCTGCTGGCTTGCGTGTGCGCCTCTCTCGTTTAGAGTTCGAGAACATGCGATTCAAGCGTGGGGAATGGACCGAGAACATGCTCAACTTTGCTATGGTGTAAGATGCCCTTGTAGTTTTGTTTCTCGGATAGATGTGTGACGTTTCGAGATTTACGTTCTCTGTCACGTGTAGAGTACTAGTAGCGATCTAGCAAATAACGCTCTCGCCGCTCTAACGTTTAAACCATCTTCCGAGTACTAGTCTCCTCTATTCTACTGCCCAAAGTTAGCGATCTCTATTTCGAGAGATATTTCCGCGAAGACGGATGTGTTGTGTAGCGCTGGTCTGATCTCTGAAAGCTCCTTGTGTTGTCTCTTGCAGGAAGATTGCAAAGGAGAGGCTGACCGCGGACCAGCTGTCGAAAGTCGAAATCATCCCCATGAGTGCAGTCAACGCGGCCCGGGCGAAACAACCGTACGAACCCATGGGTCCTGGCAGACTCGATGGTGTGCTTGGCAAGCAACTCGTAGTCTTTCCGCTGTGGTCAAGGTGAGTTCGAATTGTAGAGGTTCCGGTATCAATCTTTATTTCTCTGAAAATACAACGGCTGTTCGATTTTCCGAGCTTTTACGCGCTTGCTAACCTTTCCCCCCGCCGCCCCATGCAGCATGACTGCCGAGCCTGGAGCGCGCTGTAGCCTTTTCATGCTTGTTCGGCCCGACAGTTTGGCCGACCACCCGAATATTCCGGTTGCGACACGTCTTCTGCATTTCGACCCCAAGTCGAATTCTCCAGCACACAAGCACACCGACCTCGCCCTTCAAATGGTCAAGTAAGGTTTAACTATTGTCGCTCGTCACATGTGCAAATGACGGTACGGCAGAGCATAGCCTAATTTTGTCGGAAATTCACATGCCGAGCAGATGGCTGGAGGTGCAGCTCTTGACGGAATATTCTAGAGGAGAAGCACTCACTCCAAACTCGGAGGAGCAGGAAACTTTCCGCGACATCAGGAGACGGATTATGAGCGGGTGGAGGCTCGACATAGCGGGAGTAAGTTTACAATGCAAACTCGGAATTCAGCTCGGACCTCTAAGCAGGACAAGCCCTGACCAGCTCCCTTTCATTTTCATGCAGAAGCTAACTCCAATGGTCAGCTCGAGGGAGGTCGGGAGCGGTTCTCATGTAGCGTACCAGTGGCGTAAGGTGCTCGATCATTTTGACTCGATTCTCTTACAGCATGATCGAGATGATAAATTTAGGGTTCTTGGAAAACCACCCTACCGGCGAGAGGATATATTCAAGGACATAGTGACCAGCTGCAAAAAGTATTTCGACAAGCTGGCGGCAGGTGATGAGGAGGATGCGGGAGAGGTGGACCTGGAACCCGTTGGGGACGCTGCTGAGGACACGGGTGCCCCGCCCGTTATTGACGCCGAAATAGTCGCGTTGGGGGCAATGGTTGCTGACGGCGCACGAATGGGTCTGGCCAACGAGCGTCAGAGCGTAACGGATGGGGAGGGTCAGATGATGGACAGAGAGGAACCGCCTTTTCAGAGGAGTGCGCGCGAGATCTTGCGTGGAATGAGGGAGGCGCAGCAGAGGGCACCAGAGGATAAGACCGAGCGTTGCGGGTCGGAGACCCAACAACAGAGGGGGGAGGGGGAGAGGATGGAGGAGTTAGCAATTGGTTTAGAGGCAATGCACCTCTCGGTCGAGAATGATGAACAGGAGGAGCAGGGGCAGGGTATGGACATGAGGCAGGGCAGTCCGAATGTCGTAGGCGAATCGGAGGATGAGGTCCTGAGAGCGGAACGCGATAATAGGGTGGTGTATCAGAGGCGGGAGACAAGAACAAAGAAGAAGTATGATCAGGAGCGGGAAGCACGCGAGGAGGAAGAGGCGAAGCGGAGGGTGGAACAGAAGCGTGTGAGGCTCGAGGACCAGGAGCGAGAGGTGAGTGCGATGGAGGGGGACAGGGAGAGTGAGGAACGCGAACGCAAGAGGGAGGAAGAGCGGAAGAGGGAGGAGGCGAGGAAGGTGTGGCGCGAAAAGGAAGAGAAGCGGCAGAGGGAGGAGGAAGAGCGGAAGAGGGAGGAGGAAAGGCAGGCTGAGCGCGAAAAGCAGGAGAAGCGGCAGAAGGATGAAGAGCGGAAGAGGGAGGAGGAAAGGCAGGCAGAGCGCGAACAAGAGGAGAAGCGGCAGAGGGAGGAGGAAGAGCGCAAAAAGGAGGAAAGGCAGGCTGAGCGCGAACAGGAGGAGAGGCGGCAGAGGGAGGAGGAAGAGCGGAAGAGGGAGGAGGAGAAAAAGGCTGAGCGCGAAAAGGAGTCGAAGCGGCAGAAGGATGAGGTGGAGCGGAAGAGGGAGGAGGCGCGGAAGGCCGAACGCGAAAAGGAACATAACCGGCAGAAGGAGGAGGAGGAGGAGAGGAAGAGGGAGGAGGCGAGGAAGGCGGAACGCGAAAAGGAGGAGAAGCGGCAGAAGGAGGAGGAGGAGCGGAAGAGGGAGGAGGCGAGGAAGGCGGAACGCGAAAAGGAGGAGAAGCGGCAGAAGGAGGAGGAACGGAAGAGGGAGGAGGCAAGAAAGGCAGGACGCGAAAAGGAAGATAAGCGGCAGGTGGAGGAGGAGCAGAAGAGGGAGGAGGCGAGACAGGTAGAACGCGAAAAGGAGGAGCAGCGGCAGAAGGATGAGGAGGAGCGGAAGAGGGAGGAGGCGAGGAAGGCGGAACGCGAAAAGGAGGAGAAGCGGCAGAAGGAGGAGGAGGAGCGGAAGAGGGAGGAGGCGAGGAAGGCGGAACGCGAAAAGGAGGAGAAGCGGCAGAAGGAGGAGGAGGAGCGGAAGAGGGAGGAGGCGAGGAAGGCGGAACGCGAAAAGGAGCAGAAGAGGCAGGAGGAGGAGGAGGAGCAGAAGAGGGAGGAGGCTAGGAAGGCGGAACGCGAAAAGGAGGAGAAGCGGCAGAAGGAGGAGGAGGAGCGGAAGAGGGAGGAGGCGAGGAAGGCGGAACGCGAAAAGGAGGAGAAGCGGCAGAAGGAGGAGGAGGAGCGGAAGAGGGAGGAGGCGAGGAAGGCGGAACGCGAAAAGGAGCAGAAGAGGCAGGAGGAGGAGGAGGAGCAGAAGAGGGAGGAGGCTAGGAAGGCGGAACGCGAAAAGGAGGAGAAGCGGCAGAAGGAGGAGGAGGAGCGGAAGAGGGAGGAGGCGAGGAAGGCGGAACGCGAAAAGGAGGAGAAGCGGCAGAAGGAGGAGGAGGAGCGGAAGAGGGAGGAGGCGAGGAAGGCGGAACGCGAAAAGGAGCAGAAGAGGCAGGAGGAGGAGGAGCGGAAGAGGGAGGAGGCGAGGAAGGCAGAATGCGAAAAGGAGCAGAAGCGGAAGAAGAATGAGGAGCGGAAGAGGGAGGAGGCGAGGAGGGCAGAACGCAAAAGGAGCAGAAGCGGCAGGAGGATGAGGAAGAGCGGAAGAGAGAGGAGGCGAGGAAGGCGGAACGCGAAAAGGAGCAGAAGAGGCAGGAGGAGGAGCAGAAGAGGGAGGAGGCTAGGAAGGCGGAACGCGAAAAAGAGGAGAAGCGGCAGAAGGATAAGGAGCGGAAGAGGGAGGAGGCGAGGAGGGCAGAACACGAAAAGGAGCAGAAGCGGCAGGAGGATGAGGAGGAGCGGAAGAGAGAGGAGGCGAGGAAGGCGGAACGCGAATAGGAGCAGAAGAGGGAGGAGGAGGAGGAGGAGCAGAAGAGGGAGGAGGCTAGGAAGGCGGAACGCGAAAAAGAGGAGAAGCGGCAGAAGGATAAGGAGCGGAAGAGGGAGGAGGCGAGGAGGGCAGAACACGAAAAGGAGCAGAAGCGGCAGGAGGATGAGGAGGAGCGGAAGAGAGAGGAGGCGAGGAAGGCTGAACGCGAAAAGGAGCAGAAGCGGCAGGAGGATGAGGAGGAGCGGAAGAGGGAGGAGGCGAGGAAGGCGGAACGCGAAAAGGAGCAGAAGAGGCAGGAGGAGGAGGAGCGGAAGAGGGAGGAGGCGAGGAAGGCGGAACGCGAAAAGGAGGAGAAGCGGCAGAAGGAGGAGGAGGAGCGGAAGAGGGAGGAGGCGAGGAAGGCGGAACGCGAAAAGGAGGAGAATCGGAAGAGGGATGAGGAGGAGCGGAAGAGGGAGGAGGCGAGGAAGGCGGAACGCGAAAAGGCGGGGAAGATTTTGGAGGCCAACGAGCGAGAAACGCGCGAGGAGGCGAGGGTGGAGGAGCGAGAGCGACAGAGGCAGGTCGGTGAGACCGGGGAACGAGAATCGCGTGAAAGGGAGGAAGCGCGGCAGAGGCAGGATCGGGAACGAAAGAGAACTGAAAGCGAACGCAGAAGAAAAGGGCTTCAGAGGCTCGAGCGCGAAAGGTTTGTGGCGAGGCAGACGGAGCAAGCGGGTGTGCATCAGGGTGTGGAGCGTCCGAGGGATCGACCTGTAGAGAACGAGCGCCGTGGGATGGGGGGCGCTACACAGAGGCAGGAAAGGCAGAGGGAGGTTGCTGGGTTGAATGAGCAAGGTGCTGGGGGGCAGCGGCGTGTGCCTGAGGGCCAGAGGGGCGCGAGGTTCTTCCCAATGCAGTTGGGGCGGGATGTAGGGGATGGAGCTCGGCAAGTGGTGGTTGGCGACCAGCCAACCTTGGGGCATCATGGAACAACTGTTGGTCGGGCAGCGGATGTTGGTTTACCGGGATTGAGAACAGGCGGACCGAGGCCGATGATGCAGCGGGAAGGTGGCCGGCGTGATGATCAAACAGCCCGGAACAGGGTCGGCGCGGGAGACCATAGGAGGTTCGATCAGTCAAGGCAAGCTGGTAGGCGAGAGGGTGAAGCGATTGGAACGCGGCAAGGTGAGCGAATGGCGGAGGATCAGGTCTGGCGTGGGGTGGGATGGGGAATGGAAGGAGTGCGACACAGGGAGTTTCAGCAGAGAGAGGCGGGAGGACGTGCGGACGAGGAACTAGAGAGTGCGGCTAGTGCGCTCCCCATGCAGAGGCGGCATCCACGAGCGGCAGAGAATCCTGCTGCGGTGCAGGGAGAGGAACTAGAGGATGGTGAATGGGTGGCTGTGGAGGCGCTACTGGCAGGACTGGAGCAAGCGGGGCCGCAAGTTTTCGAGGAGACGGAGCGAGGATTTGAGGAGGCTGGCGACCGCATCGCAGCTGGCGGCAGGATGCATACCACAGCAGAGTTGATGCGGCGTCTGACCTTGGTGGCAAGGTCCGTGGCGAGGGCTTCGTCGGAGCAACGTGTTCGTTTCATCGACTGCATGGCAGAGATTCGAGAATTTGGTACGCAGATGCAAGCCTTGGACAGCCGCTACTTCCAGGACTACGATGATCTAACACACGAGTACCACGAGCTCAAGGCCGGGGTGGTCCGGGAACGCGACGAGCTTGTCAGAATATTATGCTCTAGCCTGCAGTGGGGTGCTCTATAGCGAGTACAACCCTTCTAGGGTTAGCTATTTGTACCACCATTGTTGCTAGTGCAAGCCTCTCCTTTCTTCATTCTTACTTTCTACAGCTAGTTCTGACATGGTATCAGAGCAGGTCGACCCTCCTGGGTCGATCCTGTGGGTGGGCCCGCCACCTAATGCTTCCGCTGCTGTCCTGCTTATCGCGCGCCTCGGGCGCGCGACGTTTTCTGCCTACTGCGCGCTCGCAAGGCGCGGCGTTTTTAGGGTTTCGGCGGTTTTCATCCCGCCGTGCGCTCGGGGCGCGCGGCGGTTTTCTGCCCGCCGTGCGCCCCGAGGCGCGCGGCGGTTTCCCACCGTCGAAGTGCCCCCCGTCGCCCGTCGAAGCGCCCTCCCCCCGTCGCCCGTCGAAGCGCCCCCGTCGCCCGTCGGAGCGCCCCCCGTCGCCCGCCAAAACGCCCCCGTCGCCCGTCGAAGCGCCCCTGGGACCCGCGCGCGGCCCGTACGGGCTGCGCCAGGCCCGCGCGCGGCCCGTACGGGCTGCGCCAGGCCCGCGCGCGGCCCGTACAGCCCGCGCGCGGCCCGTACGGGCGGCGCCAGGCCCGCGCGCGGCCCGTACGGGCTGCGCCAGGCCAGCGCGCGGCGCGGGCAGCCTGCGCGCGCCTCGTCCGTCCCCCTCTCGCCGTCCCCCGCGCTCCTGCCCCTATCCCACCCGTTTTAGGGTTTGGGGATGTGGAGTGTGGGGGTGGCGGGTGTGGGGGTGCCGGTTGTGTGCCCCGTCCCCTCCTTCTCCTCCTCCTCCGTCTCCCGCTGCTGCAGCTGCCGCTCAGGGGGGTGGTTGTGTGGGGAGCCGAAGGAGTGGTCCTAGGGGGGTGAAGGGGGAGTGGAGCTAGGGGCGCAGCAGGGGGTGTGTGTCGAGGGGTGTGGGACTGTTGGGGGAGGTTGAGCGGAGGTTGCCGTCGTGTCGTACGCAGCGCCTGTACTCCGGGGCACTCATTCCCGGTAGCTCAGAGAGCCGGTTGCGCCGTCGCCTGTGGGTCCGTTGCTCCTGCCGCGCATATTAGCCGCGGAGCCTGTTACTCCTGTACTCCGGGGCACTCATTCCCGGTAGCCACGTTGTCGCACCAGAGCCGTCTGTTGCCCGTGTGTCTGCATCTTCAGTCGTCGCCTCCTATCTACTCTCCTCTCACCAGCCCTCCTCCTCCTCACTTGCCCCCTGTGACTGCCTCTAGCTTTGCTCATAATTGTGAACCTTAAACTATTGCTTCTTGCTTGTGCTCAGAATGTGTGGTGACATCGTGATCCACCCTGAGCTTGTACTACTTTGCTTGCTCTGCTGATTACACCCCACTTTGACTATGGGGGTGTGTCAGAATATTATGCTCTAGCCTGCAGTGGGGTGCTCTATAGCGAGTACAACCCTTCTAGGGTTAGCTATTTGTACCACCATTGTTGCTAGTGCAAGCCTCTCCTTTCTTCATTCTTACTTTCTACAGCTAGTTCTGACAGAGCTAACCCAATTGCGTACTGCTCTTTCGGCTTCTGTCGCCGAAGCACGAGCGGCAGCAGCTGATGCGGGTCGCGCAGCTGCAGCAGCGGCTGTGGAAGCTTTGGAGGAAAGGTTACAGGGGTTTTTCGAGAGAACTTACGGGAGAAGCTGAAGAGTGTGGTGGAGCAGGTGATAGAGCAATCGTCGCTAGAGGCCTCGTTCACATCCACCTCCATGGAACACCTGCAAGCGGCTATTGACAATAGTGTACTCGCAGTGTGGGAGGATCTCAGGGCTGCGGACGACCAAAATAATCTGACTTTCAACAAGATTCAGAAGGCTCTGGCAGGACTGTCAACAAAGCTCAAAGGGCTGACTGGACCCAGCAAGGTCCGAAAGCCACCCACCGCCAGGGGAGAGGCCACACCAAAGGCTTCGCGAAAGCAGCCCGAAGCAGATTCCCCAGACATCCCAATCTCCTCAGCACAACGAGTCATTGAAAGGTTTGCCGCAACGTCCGAGGGTGAGGAGGGTGACGCTGGTGAGGCGGGTGAGACGGGCGCTGGTGTGGCAGATATTGACTTGTCTGAACCAGTGAGGAGAAACTGGAGAGAGACGTACGCAGCAAAGAACGTGCAGAAAGAGAGGGAGAAGGAGAGCGAAGAGAGGAGGACGGCTGAAGCGCGGAAGCGGCAAGCACTTCAGACGGCGCAAGTGACGGCTGCAAAGAAGAGGCGGGCTGAGAAGGGGTTGGGAAATACGAGGGTGGAGGACCGTCCTGGGACTGTCAGCAGGGGGAGAGTGACGGAAAACCAACCGGCGGGTACAGCTGCAGAGGCAAGGAAGGCAGAACGCGAAAAGGAGCAGAAGCGGCAGGAGGAGGAGCGGAAGAGGGAGGAGGCAAGGAAGGTAGAATGCGAAAAGGAGCAGAAGAGGCGAAAGGATGAGGAGGAGCGGAAGAGGGAGGAGGCAAGGAAAGCGGAACGCGAAAAGGAGTTGAAGCGGCAGAAGGATGAGGAGGCGCGGAAGTGGGAGGAGGCGAGGAAGGCAGAACGCGAAAAGGAGCAGAAGCGGCAAGAGGAGGAGGAGCGGAAAAGGGAGGAGGCGAGGAAAGCGGAACGCGAAAAGGAGTTGAAGCGGCAGAAGGATGAGGAGGCGCGGAAGAGGGAGGAGGCGCAGAAGGCAGAACTCGAAAAGGAGCAGAAGCGGCAAGAGGAGGAGGAGCGAAAGAGGGAGGAGGCGAGGAAGGCAGAACGCGAAAAGGAGGAGAAGCGGCAGAAGGAGGAGGAGCGGAAGAGGGAGGAGGCGAGGAAGGCGGAACGCGAAAAGGAGGAGAAGCGGCAGAAGGAGGAGGAGGAGGAGGAGGAGCGGAAGAGGGAGGAGGCGAGGAAGGCGGAACGCGAAAAGGAGGAGAAGCGGCAGAAGGAGGAGCGAAAGAGGGAGGAGGCGAGGAAGGCGGAACGCGAAAAGGAGGAGAAGCGGCAGAAGGAGGAGGAGGAGCGGAAGAGGGAGGAGGCGAGGAAGGCGGAACGCGAAAAGGAGGAGAAGCGGCAGAAGGAGGAGGAGGAGCGGAAGAGGGAGTAGACGAGAAAGGCAGAACGCGAAAAGGAGGAGAAGCGGCAGAAGGAGGAGGAGGAGCGGAAGAGGGAGGAGGCGAGGAAGGCGGAACGCGAAAAGGAGGAGAAGCGGCAGAAGGAGGAGGAGGAGCGGAAGAGGGAGGAGGCGAGGAAGGCGGAACGCGAAAAGGAGGAGAAGCGGCAGAAGGAGGAGGAGGAGCGGAAGAGGGAGGAGGCGAGGAAGGCGGAACGCGAAAAGGAGGAGAAGCGGCAGAAGGAGGAGGAGGAGCGGAAGAGGGAGGAGGCGAGGAAGGCGGAACGCGAAAAGGAGGAGAAGCGGCAGAAGGAGGAGGAGGCGAAGGCGATGGAAAGGAGGCGGGCACAGAGGGAGGCGGAGTTAGAAGCTAAGCGCCAGCAGATTGCTAAGATTGCGGAAACAAAGCGGTTGGAGGCAGCAAAGCGAAAAGAGACCTCGAAATAGAGCGTCGGAAAGCCCTGGAGGAGATCGAGCGTATTGCACGGTTAGAGGAAGCCGCAAAGGAGGAAGAGGAGAGGCAACAAATGGAGTTAGAGGCGGAAACAGAGAAAATGGAAAACGAGAGGCGACGGATTGCGGGGGAGGATGAGGAAGGGGCAGCGGGGCAACGGCAGGGAGGAGAGGCGGAAGAAGGGTGGGCCAGGATTCTTCAAGTGATTTCATTGGTTCCCGATGAACCGCTGCAAGTAGTTGACCTCGTGGGGGAGGTGGAGGGTTCGGAACATGTGACAGGCTCTGGAGGTCTAGAGACTCAACCGCCTTTGAAGAGGCTTCGCATTGACCAGACCGGAACGAACTTCGACGCGGATGAGGGGTCTTTGGGGGCTGCTGCGTCAGAGGAATGTGTCGGTGAAAATGTGTCGGGAAATCAGAACGTTCAACCAACGTTGGGGGAGGCGACGGGAGAGGTGGCACCGCAAAGAGCGGATGTGCTACCAGACGAGCTAGGGAAGCGGTGGGGGGAAACAAAGCATTTCAGATCGAGTGGTCTTACCACACGCGAGAAGAAGAACAAAAAGGGGGAAGTGGTGTACGTGCGCTACAACTCGGAGCAAACCGTCGAAGGTGTGAAGAGGAACATGGGGAGCTACAAGGAGCGGAAACTACGCGATTTCACAGTGGCCGTCTGTTGGATGGCCTACTTCCCTGACACCGACATGGCCCATTACGGCTTGGATCCTGCCGAGCTTGGCTTGTGGGCGGTCCACCTCGCTCGTGAACTCCCGACTGGTGTCTGGAGTGTCATGAACGAATTGAACCTCGACAAGTTCGAGAAGTAAGTACTCGATTCGGATTAGCTAGATCTAGTACACTTTCCCGTTTTGCCTTACTAACCGTGTACCCACCTCGCCTGTGCAGCTTCGAAAACGTCATGAACAAGACAAATGCACGGGTGAAGGACGGCGCACATTTCCAGGTGGCCGTTTGCACAGGGATTGGACAGGCCCTGGTACACGGAGGGAGTGGGCTGGTGTCGCCCCCCGCGAATGTCACTCCCGCGGTCTATGCAGCGGGAGTAGCTGCAACCCTCTACACCTTGTGGTGTGCCTCGATCGGCATTCCCCACCAGGACTGGGCGGAGGGTGCGGATGAGGCGGCTCGTGGCACGCTCAACGAGGCAAGCCTTGCTAGTCGAGCAACCTCTACTGCTCGCCTCGGAGTGTGGACCTTGAAGGCCGTGAAGAACCTAACGCACGAGAAGGCGGATTGGGAAGTGGTGCTCACCAAGGCCATTCTCGGCCTTGTGGATCCCGAGCCCGGGGAGGCAGAGGCTATTGAAATGGCCAAGGTGGTTTCGAGGGTGCTGGTGTACTGGTGCGAGTGCTGTCACGCAAACCAGAGTCTTTACGCGTATCAGGGTGGGATGCTCCATTTTCCCCAGCCCACAAAAGGGGGACGGCGGAAGGGGAATGCGGGAGGCAACGAGTGATGCAGGATGGGGAGGGTAATTTCGAGTTTGCAGCAGCTCTGTACTATAGTCTGCTGAATGTTGTAGTTTTTGAGTTTCCATTGATTTGAACTTAAATCTGTTACATGCATTGTTTGACTCGAAAGCATGGCGTGAATAAGGACTTGAATGCTGTAGGGTTAGATCTCTGAACCACGGTGTTTCCTTAATTGCTTTTGAGGCTTTGTTTTCAAGTAACTAGCGTACTTAGGATTTCGATCGTGAACTTAACGCGTGACGAGAGTGCAACCCTCTTGCTTCTTAACGCAGATGGGAAATGCTTTGATATTTGACACATTCCCATGTTTTCGAGACATTCCCATGCTTAACATTGACGTTCCAATGACTAGTGTTACTCTAAAGGAGGATTTAGAATCTAGAACAGAAGAGAGGGAGGGCATCAAAGTTCCCTCTGGCGGCGCAGTGATTTCTTTTTGCATGCCATCATAGTTTGTTGCTAACCCTGATTTTCGAGAGATTCCTACGTTCCATTGACTATTGTGGCAGGTAACCATGTACTCCAAAGGGAGCCTGCTCATTCGAGTTTTGTTCGCGTATTTTTTCTATGCCGTCGCAGCACTGTTAACGACACCTGTTTTCGAGCACAATCCTCTTGGTACGATAGGCGAAGGTTACGATATACGGTGGGTGTAAATTTTGTAGTGGAACTACATACGATCCAACAATGATGTAACTCTAAAAGAGGTTTTAGATCAGAGGAAACTAAAAATAAGAAAAAGAGGGGTCAAAGTCAAGAGCAGAGCAGAAATGAGGTCCAAGATGAGGGAAGCGATCACGGAAGGAAGTCTCGGTAGCGTAAACTACTTCTTCAGTTTAGCCAGCTTCAACGGCTCCTCGATCTTGATCTTCTTCCAAACATCTTTCCCAAACATCTTCTCTCCCCACCCGTCACCCACCATCTGGGCGGCGAAGAGGAGGTACCCGACCTTGCGGCGCTTGTTCTCCGTCGTCTTATCCTTGCCGGGATTATCCCTCTTCGGAGGTGGCTCGTTTCCGAGAATCACCCCATCCGCCAGTGCGCTAATCGAACTCCGACCCACCACGTCCCTCTCGATCTTCGCAATGGCATCTCGGGTGGCCTCCTCCGTTAAGTTAGCCCTGTATTTCTCGACCGCGAGCATCACGTTCCTCATGCGCTTCATTTTTTTGTCGCCAGCATCGTCCTTCACACCCTTCTCAATGTACGAGAAAGTGGGGTAGAAACTTTTTTCTGACGACAGCTGGCGGAGAGTCTTCCCTTCCATCAAAAAGGTCACCTTCACCCAGTGCTCCCATGCCTTTGCGACCGACTCCGAGTCCCGCCAGGGTTTAACGACAAGGTCGAAAAATGCCCGCACTGGAGTGCTGGCTTGTGCCTTCCCAGGCTTCGGAGCCTCCCCACCAGCTTCCTCCTTTGCCGACGAGCCCGACCCTCGATCAGCGGCCTGTGCGTTCGCGCTGCTCTTTGCACGCGCCTTTAGAGCAGCCAGCTCCTCTTTGAGCTGCTTGTTTTCAGCGGCCGTCTTCTTCTCCCTCTCTTCGGTTTCAGCGAGCCTGTTCTTCAGCACGCCAATCTCGTGATCCTTCTGACCACATTCCGTCCGCCACAGGTTGTTCTCTACGAGGAGCTTCTGGTACTTTCGGGATGAGTTCAGCTTGTAGATCGCATCCTGCGGGAAAACGGACGAGGGTTTTCAGGCATTGTCAATGCTGTCGAAATATAAGGGCCGATCAGAGAACTGATGTACTCACAGCGGCTGCAGAGGTGCCTCTGGCTTCACGAAGTTCAATGCCAGCCTTGTGCATGATTGCCACTTTGATGGCCCATTTCTGGAAGAGATGGTGGCGGCAGAGCGGATTCATGTCCGTGTACGGGTGGCGCGGGCACTGGCATGGCCGTCTTGTACCGTCGAAAAGATGGTCGTGATCGGGGCAGTAGAACCACCACATGGCAAGGTCCTGTGCCACGATGTCTCGCCCAGGGTTTGCAAGAGCCTCCAAAAAACTTCTGCCAGAGTGGTGCGGCTTATCCAGATTCTCGCGGTTGTAATTATCGACCTGAGATGGTAGGACAGAGAAGACATTCAGCTCTGCCTAGCGCAACAACTTTAGACACTGCAAAAGGCTGGGTAATCAAGGGGTACCTTTGCCAAATCAGATTCGAGGCGCGGGAAGATGAACAGCTTGAAGAGGTCTTGCAACTGTTTCCACTCGGTGTCGTTGTCGAGTTTAGCGTGCGCTCTGCCGATGTAGTAATCTCCCGGCTCCCCACTGAATCCGGCCATCATCAAGACCGGCCAAAACGGAACGCCCACGACATAGGACTTTCGCATCTCGCCCTACTCCCAGCCGCCGAGAGCGTTGATGTCGGGGTCGGGACAGCGATCGTCACTCAGGCCTTGGGCTCCCGATCGGCGAAACGCATGGGTCTTTTTGCTAATCCGCCAGGGCGGTCGCGCTACGTCGTTCATGACCCAATTAATCCAGTTGTTGTGAGTCACGTACGGAAGCTCTTCCTGCAGTTGTTCCCTTCCGTGCCTCAATGGGAAGAAAATGTGCTTCTTAGACCACTGAAGGGGGTCGCTGAAGTCCAGTGGCGGAATGATGTCCGCTCCGAATCGCAGTGGCACGAGGTCGTAGACGAAATGAATCCACAGAAAAAGACCACCAACACCGCAGAGCGCGAAGTTGATGTGCCGGGCCAAGAATTGGTGGGTCAGCCTGTTGGTCGCATTCGTCTTGGACTTTCGAGAGGCGAAAACCACCACAGGGAGATCCTTCTGGCGGTCGGGGACGGCCGTGCTGCTACGCGTGTGGCGGACAAACATGTTCGCGAATCGTAGAGCACGAATGCTGCATCCCCTCCCCAACATTTGGTGTGCGAGTTGAATCATCACCTGCACCGCAAAACACCGCCAGAGACTTTCTGATAGTGCAACCCTGGCTCTCTGGTAGCACTCTTTGATCTCCCTCAGAAAGTGCTTCTCGTGCAGGTCCGCGTACTGCTCCGACGTGTAGCAATCGTCCAGAGAGTTTCGGTGCTGATCCTTGCCCTCCCTGCATAGACCAACGTGAAGCGTGCTTAGGCATCGAATTTTCGAGAATCTGTTTGGCCATGAAGTGTGTAAATACTCACGCAACCTGCTTGTCGTGCAGCTGTTTCAGCTTGAGCTTCATGTACTCCCGCGATTCGCCGATGTACTCATCTGCTTGGGCCTTCGGGTAGTCGTAGAGTCGAGCTTCAAGTCTACCCAGGAAGCCCAAAGCGCTCATCTTTGCCTTCATCATGCTCGGCGTACTAGGGATGGGCTCCTTTCCAGCCACCACTTCTTCGCCTCTCCGCATCATCTCGGCCTGCGCGGGGGTTTCCTCTGCCATGTACCGCAGGAACCTCTGAATCCTCCATCCAGTAACACGGGGCCCGTGGAGATAAACTTCATCCAAAACCACAGTTGACCACTCCGCCTTTTTGTCGTTCCCTAGATGGCTTCCAACCTCGTCAGGATTCAGCGGGTCCAGACGCTCCGCCGCCGGAACCTCAGTCTTGGGCAGCGTTGACATGAACATGATGACCCACCACTTGTAGTGCAGCCAATACAGGATGTAGTCTTTTCTGGTTTTCGCCGCGAGATAATCGTAGGGGACCTTTGCGCGGCGAATCCTGCTGGCCACGTCGGCCTGTTTTCGAACTGACTCGTGCGTAGCTGATGCTGGCCCATCTGCATTTCTCTGAGGCGCGGCCTGCGATGCTTGCCCCTCCGCATTTCCCTGTGGCGCAACCTGTGGTTCTTGTCCCTCAGCATTTCCCGCGGGCGCAGCCGACGATCCGACACCATGTGCACTTCCATGGGGCGATGCCTCTGATTCTGGGCCGTTCACATTGCCACGGGCCGGTTCCACAAAAAGAATTCGACAGGTGGCATTATCTTCAGAGGTTGGGCTTCGGCTAGCATTTTCCTCCCAATTCTCCTCAAACAACGCTCGGTGGGGGTCCTCGTCATCGTCCGCGAGATTAATGAACACCCCCCTCGGAATTCCGCCCCTCGGAAATCCGCCCTCAGCCACATTTCCCAGACTTCAAGGTTCGAGGCCGGAAATTCTTCCTGAGCATCCAGGAACACATCGCCCCCAACAGCTGCCTCGAATTCCCCGTCCGCATCGCGGTCCCCGGTTAGATCAATCGGGGCATTGGGCAGTTGGCAGTCTGGAAGATCATGATACTCCTCATTGAGGTCGAAATCGAGAGCTGCGCTAAGAAAATTACCCGTACCGCCTTCGCCCGCCATCACGGTGTACCTGTTTCAGAGGACTCTATGCTCCACATGTGCGCAAAACCTGTCCTGAAAGGGTTATTTTCGACAAGCGAAATCTAAAACGCCTCGTCGGGAATGGGATGGACTGCCAGCAAGCCCAGGAGCATGTTGTGCTGAAAAGAGACTCGTGATCGGAGTTGTTACGGGGAGAATAAACTATGAATGTGACCCTTCTGAGTGGAGAACAATGATGATCTGAAATGGATGTTCAATTTAGAGTTCTTTAGTGTCTCGAAAATGCCCCCATTTTTTAGAGTAGAAAAAAATTCTTCGCTGGCTCAACCCTCGACGTGTGTGCAACTCTGAAAGAAGCAATCAATCATGCCATGCTGGATTGAAGGTATGGAAGCAAGGAGGGTGATGTTTTCCCCTAACATGTGTTAAAGTTTGAAGGAGGAATCAAGAAATGACATACAACGGGGAGCTATTTAAGCATTCTGGGACTCAGCCACATGAACATGAGCACCACAACCTCTGACTGCATCCCTTCTTCCCGCCACAGCTTCTCTAGATCTGGTCGCCAGACCCCAGATCTGGGGTTCTTCCCGCCTCTGTCAGAGCATTCGATTGGCTGGCTCCTCCACAATGGCGTAACTCTGAGCAACACCCCTCCCGCAGAGAACGAGTAACTCTGCCACGTGGAACACGGTCGGCGCGCAATGTAAAAGAATGTAAATACACTGGATTTTCAATTTAGTTCTATACACCGGTTGGTGTCGAGATGTGAGATTTTAAAAAACAAGCTTGAAGTGGCTTGGTTCATTTTACGAATCTGTTAAAAATACCATGTCGCGATCAAAAAATCCGGAAAAAAGCTGTCTCCTTGTGGTCCCGAAAGTTTATCACGTTTCCGAAATTTTTAATCAATTGTACTTAAAACCGTATTCTTTAAAATAAACGACTACTACCCTATAACCTGGTGTATAAAAAACAGTCGTTTCTCATTATGACACCAAAACAGCTGTTGTTCGTGTTGATGGGTGGACGCAAACTGCAACTGTGTTCGATATATGCAGTGTAGAAAACGTTTGTCGTTATTGAAAAAAACAATCTGCTCGTCTGTCTCTTAGCGAATGGCCAAGGTACATATTGCGTTTCATAATACTGAATTAGGCGGAGGAACGTGCAAATAACGAGCTTGCACCCATGCGGAAGTAGACGTAATCTAGTAAAACGTGTGCAGATTACCAAATTTCACTGTAAACAAATGTCTAACACGAAGCTCAATATCGAGTTTCTCGATATTGCAGTTTTCACATACTGGTTGCGACGTGCTCGCAGAGATCACGTCGCAACCGTTTGCGCGAAAAGTGCACGTCAATTGACGGCTGCACTTTGACGTTGGCGAGAGCACGGGATTCGCCAGCTACATTGCACGCACGAATGTGCTCGGGCAGAGCACAGTTTCACGGGCAGGCCGAGCCTAGCCCTTGGGGCGGTGGCGGCTGTCCTACCCGGCGCAAGCTTGCGCCGCTTCCGCTTGGGTCGATTCCCAGCTCGACCCAAGCAGCTGGACCCACGTTTTTTCCCAGGCAAATCCGCTCGACCAGCGCCAAGAGCAATATAACTTCCCTTATTTATCTGTGCTCAGTTCCTGCTGCTGATACTCACATCTGCGGTTGGGAGTACCAGACCTATTACGCTTGAGAACTGCTGCAGAACATCAACGTCTAGTCTAGATAGCCAAAGTCCAGCCATGGCTCCCGCACTCCGAGAGCCTGCCGTCGGATCCATCGCGGAGCTCGATTCCATGCGTTACGACACGACCGTTTTGACTGATAGGCAGCCTTCTTCCGCGTGTTGTGCGAGAGACAGTCGGATCGCCCACTCTGGTGTACCATCCAATGCAGCTGGCTGCGCCGCCGCTTCTTCAGCGACTTGTGCGAACTGCCACGCGAACAGTAGAGATAGTTGTAACGAAGAGCTGGGGAGGCGGACTGTGGACGGTGTAAGCGAGGACCAATCGGCTCCAGTGTTAGACTCCGATACTGTCACATCCGAGCCTGTGCCGTCAGGGGAAGTTTTTGAAACTCAGCGCGACCGTCCAAGTTTCGAGCTTGGCCAGTCCGTAGAACTCTTAGGACCTAACATTGCCGGTTCCGAACCAGCCGCCGTCGAGCCCATACCCGAGCCTGCCTCATCCTCGCGACCTTCCGAGGCTGAGAGGGACCGACAAGAATCTCCTCAAGATGAGCAATTTGCTGACGCCTTGTCAGATCCTCTTTCCACGTCGGACACAGATGTTGATGATCAGTCTTCCTTCCGCAACCTTCCCCAGTGTCATCGACAAAGTCCGCCGAGCGCGCGGCAGTCCTCTCCGCGCGCGGGACAGCCGTGTCCGCGCCACCGCGGCGTTCCCCCGCCGGTTTCGGGCCTCTGGCGGATGATTGCCACCGCTACAGTCGGCGTGGCTGCGTTTGTCCTTTTCCGCGGGCGGGGGAGGACGCGGTTGCGATGCGGCACCGGCTTTCCCGATGTGATTGAGAAGGCTCCGCCACCGCAGATTAGGGTTTGGGGGGAGCAGCCACGAGTGCAGGAATATGTGAGCATTGGGGATAGGTTATTAGAAGCTGTGGTTCCTTGGGCGGTGGATGGATATCAGGACTACGGGTATGGTAGCGAGATTAGTGGGGGGTATGGCAGTGATGTTAATTCAGATGACTAGGATAGAGTACAAGTAGTGCATAGGAGTATGTGGCAGGTTGTTAGTTTGATAACTTCAGTAGAGTTATCTAGGTGTTATAGGGGAATGGCGATCCAATGTACGTGCCTGTTCTTGTCAATGCACGTTTCAAGCCAGTTAGGCCTTGGATGCAAATTTTTTATCGTCTCCCAATTGACATGTTCTCGATTTGGTGTTAGAGCATATCATGTGTCTGGTGGAATCAACTGCGTTGTTTAGTCGGAGAAGCTACAATGGCGTATGTCAGATGGGCTGCAGACGCAGCTTCACCACACAAGCCAGGTCTTGGGGTTGCGAAATTCCAAGCTGGGAAGATCTCAGAATTTGGTGTGCACAAGTTCACTCCACGTGGACTTCATTTTCCATGCTGGCTAACCTGCCTCCCGACTGGCAAACAAATATCCACTTTCAATCTGTCGCAGACGCGGCCCCAAGATTCAAGCTGGCGTGCCAATCTTGAGGATCGAGCTTCCTGTTTTAGCCCGGTCACCGTTCTCTATCCAGCCAATTTACATCTCCACCTCGCAAACCCGCAGTCAAACCCGCAGTCTGAATGTTACTGGGCTTGATGATGCTACGTGTAGACTTGATGCTTGCTGTTCAATGCAATTTTCAGAAAAGCATTTCCTTTGTAACTGCTGTGAAGGTCTTCGCTAAGCCGCGACAACTAAGTCCGCCATGGCGAGCGGCACGGTGAATCCGTCAGCACTGAAAGCCCCAGCTCCCGTAGGCTTGCCGATCGCGTCGCGCGCCGAAGGACGTGGCAAGAATCGATCGCGGCGTGGTGTTGGCGTGAAGATCCCGTCGGGCTTCCTCCAGGGCCACTCGATCGCAAAGGCCTTACCGTTTTCGTCCAGATCTGTTGATTCTTTGCATGGCATCCATCCCGGTCGATTATCTGGTAACCCGGTAACTCGTAGGTCGGCAGCAACGAATGGCGATAACGAATGGCGGCTTTTCACGTCAGATCCGTCCAGTGACGAGGAGAATGAGCCCGTGAAATCAGCCGTAACAAGCAGTGGCGAAGAGTTTTCGCAGACGAATGGCGCTGAAAACGCAGCCGGGGGGAGCGCAGGGGGGAAAAGCGCAGCAGGGGAAAGCGCAGCGGAACCGAGCGCACAGGCTCATGCAGCCGGCGCAAGTGCCCCCGAGGCGCCGCCGCCCGCACTCGAGGCCCCCCTTGCTTCGCCCGGTTCTTCTGGTTCCGCAACCGGCGTGCGGGGCTCCGAATCGCCTCTTAGCGCGCTGCGCGTTATGTTGGAAGTTGCGGAGCAAGAACTAGCAACGGCTCGGAACCGGTCTCTGGCCGCCGAAGTCGAGGCGCAGCGCGTCGCGGAGCGAGCGATTGAGCTAAAGGACGCGGCTGTTGCGGCGGAGAACGCGGTGGATGAGGTGCTGCGTGACGTGGAATCTGAGCTGGCTTTCGAGGTGGCAGCGCAGAAGGCGCTGAACGCTGCTGACGCGGCGTTCGTTGCGCAAGAGGAGGCGACGACGGTGGCGGAAGCAGAATTGCGCGCAGCGCTGCTAGAGTTCGTTAATAGAGAGGGCGAAGCGGGAAGGTCAGAGGAGGAAGGAGGAGTGGGGAGCGCCGATCCGGAAACAGGCGCGGGGGGAAAGCCTTCTGCGGAAAAAGTTACCGCGGAAAGGGTAGCCGCGCTGAAGACGGCTGCAAAAGAGGCGCAGGAATTGCTGCAGGCGCGCAGGGAGGAGCTGCGGACGCGGCGGGAGGCGCTTACGCAGGTGCAGGCGCGCAAGGAGCGGCTGCTGCAGCTGGCGGCGGTGCGGGCGGAGCGCGCGGGGGAGGAGCGGAGGTTGGCGCAGGAGGCGGAGGAGCGCGCGGCAGCGAGCATGGCGGCGGCGGAAGAGGCGGTGGCGGGGGAGGTGGAGGCGAATAGGCGCGTGTCGGACGCGAGCAAGGCCATCAGCAGGGCGGAGAAGCTGAGCAAAGACATCGCCAAGGTATGGCGGGGCGTTGAATGGCAGGAAATGGAGGGAGTTTTGAAAGCTTTGGGAAATCAAGCGATCAGGTGAATGAGCAGACGTGAATTACTCTTGATGAATTTCGAAAGCAGAGTTGTGTTTCTCAGATTCTTCAACATTGCTGTGGCGAAGGTAATCTCCTGTAATTGATTTGCTCCATTGAAATCCCAAAACCCTGGTTGCAGGCAAGGGAGAAGGCGGCGCTGCTGACGGTGGAGAAGGAGGCGCTGCTGGCCAATGAGGTGGCCCGGGCGTCTGCTGCGCTGGCATCTACAGTGAAAGAGGGCAAGGCCGCAGCGAAGGAGATGCTGCCACGTGGCACTCCTGCTGCAGCTGATGCTGCTGGCGGTTCTGACGCCGCTTCTCCTGGTGTCGTCAGCACTGCTGCTTCTGGTGGTGCTGCTGCTACAGCTGCTACAGCTGGTGGGGTGGCAGCAGGTGGGACAGGCGGGGAAATGGGCATCACTGCTGCAGAAAGCGCAACTGAAGGAGGTGTGGGGGCGGATGGGGGCAGGAAGGAGCGGGAGGAGCGCGAGGAGGCAGCCAAGGGAGAGATTGTGGTGCCGAGCGGTGGTGAGGAGACTGGGAAGGAAGGGGGGTTCACTGGGGAGGTAGTGCCTGCTGCTGCAAGCAACGGTGGGTTGAAGAGTGCAGGTAGCAGTGCTACCGTTGCTGCTGCGCCTGTGGGAAAGGTTCCAGGGGAAGGGAACGGGGTGGCACGTGTCAGCCTGGAATTGGACAAGGCAGGGACGGTGGAGATAGATGGGGGAGAGGTGGAATCACCTGATGCAGTCCCAGCTGCATCAGCAGCCCCAGGATCTGCACCAACTCCCAAATCTGGCTCATCAGCATCATCATCATCATCAGCATCATCATCAGCATCATCAGCATCAGCATCAGCAGGAGCAGCATCGGGAATGTCTAAGCCCAAAAAGTCCTCCCGCTGGGTCTCCGCATCTTTCTTCTCTGCACCAGATGACACCTCCCCCGCCGCAGGTGCCACCTCCCCCTGGGCGTGGCTGCAGGGCGCCCTGCCCCGCGCGCTCGCCTCCCTCAGAAGGCACCTCCCCAAGGCCGTGGTGGCGTTTGTCGTTTTGCTGCTGGGGTGCGTGGCGCTGAACGCGCGCATGGAGAAGCGGGCGGCGCAGCAGAGGGGACAGGGACAGCACGTGCCTCCCGTGACGATGGCGGTGATGGAGGTGGAGCACAAGGCGGTGCGGCCGCTAGTGGCGGAGGTGCAGCGCGTGGGCATGCGGGTGAGGGAGATGGTGGAGAAAATGCCGAAGCACGAGCCGAATGAGGAGGAGGCGTCGCTGTATGACGTGCTCTGGCTGCTGCTCGCCAGTGTGGTGTTTGTTCCGGCCTTCCAGAAGCTTCCCGGAGGTGAGTGGGGAGTGGTGATTAGCGGCGTTGAGTGGTGAGTGGGACTTGGTGACTTGCCACGGGTTGAGGGAAATCGTCAATGACTGCTCCTGTGCCGTGCACTCATCATTTTTTTTTCTCTCTCCGTTCTCTCCCTCCTTCCTTTTCTCCCCACAATGCAGGCAGCCCAGTGCTGGGCTATCTAGCAGCGGGCGCCCTCACCGGCCCATACGCGCTGTCAGTCATCAAGCATGTGCACGGCACCAAGGCACTCTTACCACTCTCTCCACTCTCTCCCTCCCCTTTTCTCCCCACACCACAGGCAGCCCCGTGCTGGGCTACCTGGCAGCTGGTGCCCTGATCGGCCCGTACGCACTGTCAATCATCAAGCACGTGCACGGCACCAAGGCGCTAGCAGAGTTTGGCGTCGTCTTTCTCATGTTCAACATCGGCCTCGAGGTCAGTCAGTGCCACTCTTTCCTTTGCTTGCCTCCTTACCTGCGTCGTTACATCTCTCCTTCTGGCGTCCATCAAGCCTCTGCCCGAATTTGGCGTCATCTTCCCCATGTTCAACATCGGCCTTTAAGTGAGAGCCTCTCTCTTTTCTCTCTCTCCTCTCTCGTCTCTCCTTGCTCCTCTCTCTCCTCCGTCTCTTCTCTCCTCTCTATTCCCCTTGCAAGTAGCTCCCTCACGTCCCTTTACCCATCTCAACCCTCTTGCCCCACCCCTTCCACCCCTTCCCACCGCACACCACCACTGCAGCTATCCCTAGAGCGACTCAACTCCATGCGCAAATACGTCTTCGGCCTTGGCTCCGCACAGGTACCTTTCCCTCGCCACAGCCCTACATCCCTAATGCCCTACATGGCTCTCCAGTATCAAGCCTTGCTTTAGCGCGTCACTTGCTGCCATGAGCTTTCCTTGTTCGCTTTCCCCAGAGCTGCTGGGATGGTAGTCAGAGATTGCTTTTTCAAGCCGTATCCGTCCCTTCCCGTCACGTGCTCGTGATTCCACTGGCTGCAATCGCATGTCGCAAGACTCGAACCATGTCCCCCCGCCCCCTCATGCTTCCCTACCCGTCCGCATCAGGTGCTGGTGACAGCGGTGGTGGTGGGAGTGAGTGTGGCGCTGCTAGCATCGGTGTCAGGCCCGGCTGCTCTCGTCATTGGCAGCGGACTCGCCCTCTCTTCTACTGCCGTTGTGCTGCAGGTGAGTTTACCTTATCCCTACCATCCCGCTTACATCATCATAACCTTCCCTCACATTAGCATGCACAGCATATGAGCATTCCCTTCCATCCCCCTCTCATTCCCATCCCCATTGCGATCGCCATTCCCATCGCCATCACCATCACCATCACCCCAACCATCATGGCAGGTGCTGCAAGAACGAGGAGAGAGCACCTCTCGCCACGGCCGTGCAACCTTCTCGGTCCTTCTCTTTCAGGTGCCTTTGCTGCTCCTTCAACCAGGATGCTTTGTGTCACTGTCGTTGCTCCTGACTTAACAAATTCGTCCGCTACTACCAAACGTCTCCTCTCCTCTCCTTCCAACGCACCCCTCTTTCTCTCTGTCCCCTTTCTCTCCCCCGTCTCTGCTTAACACCAGGATCTGGCAGTGGTCGTTCTGCTCATCCTCATCCCCCTCCTCGCACCCTCCCACCCCCCTTTCTTTCTCTCCCTCACTCCTTTCTCTCCCTCACTCCCTTCTCTCCCGTGGCCCCCTCGGCTCCTCCCCACGTTCCCATCAGGATCTGGCAGTGGTCGTGTTGCTCATCCTCATCCCCCTCCTTGCACCCTCCCCGGCTTCTGCTGATGGGGTATGCTGCCTCCCTCACCCTGCTATTCCGTCACTCGCGCGTTGAAAGTGGAAGCATCGTTTCGTGGTTGTCGTTGAATGTGCCATTATCCATTCGTCTTGTTCGTCAGTGTTCCTCTTTCATCATCCACTCTTTCTTCCAACCCCCTCCCCACGCGCCCCCCTGCGTTCCCCCTATGTCAGTCCGTGGGGCTGGCAGCCATTGCGAAGGCGCTGGGGCTGGCAGCAATGAAGGCCGTGGTCGCCAAAACCTTTTTTTCACCTACTCCCCCCCGCATTTTCCCCCCTTCCGTTTCCCCTGCCCCTCCCCCCCCTTATGTCAGTCCGTGGGTCTGGCAGCCATAGCGAAGGCGCTGGGCCTGGCAGCGATGAAGGCAGTTGTTGCCATTGCGGGCATTTTTGCAGGCGGCAGACTGGTGGGTGCTCTTTGGGCGGCAGACTGATGTTTGGTCTGTCTGTTGTTATCGTTGGCGTATGAATTGGTGGGGTGTCGTGTATCGCCATGCCGCCTTAGCACTTACAGCAGTTTTGTAGATGCTAAGGCATCTTTGGCGATACACCTTGAGCCCCTCACAATGCGAAAATGTGAAACCCCCTGCTCCCGTCACTGCCTCCCACCCCTCCTCCCCCTCTCTCCTCCTCCCCCTCTCCCCTCCCCACCCTTCTCCCAGCTGCTGCGGGCCCATCTATCGCAGCATGGCGGAGAATTACAATGCGGAGACCTTAACCCCATGCTCCCTTTCTCACCCCCTTTCACCCCCTCTCACCCCTTCTCACCCCCTCTCACCACTTCCCAACCAGCTGCTGCGTCCCATCTACCGCAGCATGGCGGAGAATCACAACGCGGAGATCTTTGCAGCCAACACGCTGCTAGTCGTGCTCGGCACCTCCGTGCTCACCGCACAGGTGGGTGCTCTTGCACTGCCTCACAGCTCACCGCACAGGTGGGTCGTCTGGGTTTCTGCACATGACTGCACTGGTGGTTGCCGCACTGCAGCCAACACGCTGCTAGTCGTGCTCGGCACCTCCGTGCTCACCGCACAGGTGGGTGCTCTTGCACTGCCTCACAGCTCACCGCACAGGTGGGTCGTCTGGGTTTCTGCACATGACTGCACTGGTGGTTGCCGCACTGCAGCCAACACGCTGCTAGTCGTGCTCGGCACCTCCGTGCTCACCGCACAGGTGGGTGCTCTTGCACTGCCTCACAGCTCACCGCACAGGTGGGTCGTCTGGGTTTCTGCACATGACTGCACTGGTGGTTGCCGCACTGCAGCCAACACGCTGCTAGTCGTGCTCGGCACCTCCGTGCTCACCGCACAGGTGGGTGCTCTTGCACTGCCTCACAGCTCACCGCACAGGTGGGTCGTCTGGGTTTCTGCACATGACTGCACTGGTGGTTGCCGCACTGCAGCCAACACGCTGCTAGTCGTGCTCGGCACCTCCGTGCTCACCGCACAGGTGGGTGCTCTTGCACTGCCTCACAGCTCACCGCACAGGTGGGTCGTCTGGGTTTCTGCACATGACTGCACTGGTGGTTGCCGCACTGCAGCCAACACGCTGCTAGTCGTGCTCGGCACCTCCGTGCTCACCGCACAGGTGGGTGCTCTTGCACTGCCTCACAGCTCACCGCACAGGTGGGTCGTCTGGGTTTCTGCACATGACTGCACTGGTGGTTGCCGCACTGCAGCCAACACGCTGCTAGTCGTGCTCGGCACCTCCGTGCTCACCGCACAGGTGGGTGCTCTTGCACTGCCTCACAGCTCACCGCACAGGTGGGTCGTCTGGGTTTCTGCACATGACTGCACTGGTGGTTGCCGCACTGCAGCCAACACGCTGCTAGTCGTGCTCGGCACCTCCGTGCTCACCGCACAGGTGGGTGCTCTTGCACTGCCTCACAGCTCACCGCACAGGTGGGTCGTCTGGGTTTCTGCACATGACTGCTCTGGTGGTTGCCGCACTGCAGCCAACACGCTGCTAGTCGTGCTCGGCACCTCCGTGCTCACCGCACAGGTGGGTGCTCTTGCACTGCCTCACAGCTCACCGCACAGGTGGGTCGTCTGGGTTTCTGCACATGACTGCTCTGGTGGTTGCCGCACTGCAGCCAACACGCTGCTAGTCGTGCTCGGCACCTCCGTGCTCACCGCACAGGTGGGTGCTCTTGCACTGCCTCACAGCTCACCGCACAGGTGGGTCGTCTGGGTTTCTGCACATGACTGCACTGGTGGTTGCCGCACTGCAGCCAACACGCTGCTAGTCGTGCTCGGCACCTCCGTGCTCACCGCACAGGTGGGTGCTCTTGCACTGCCTCACAGCTCACCGCACAGGTGGGTCGTCTGGGTTTCTGCACATGACTGCTCTGGTGGTTGCCGCACTGCAGCCAACACGCTGCTAGTCGTGCTCGGCACCTCCGTGCTCACCGCACAGGTGGGTGCTCTTGCACTGCCTCACAGCTCACCGCACAGGTGGGTCGTCTGGGTTTCTGCACATGACTGCTCTGGTGGTTGCCGCACTGCAGCCAACACGCTGCTAGTCGTGCTCGGCACCTCCGTGCTCACCGCACAGGTGGGTGCTCTTGCACTGCCTCACAGCTCACCGCACAGGTGGGTCGTCTGGGTTTCTGCACATGACTGCTCTGGTGGTTGCCGCACTGCAGCCAACACGCTGCTAGTCGTGCTCGGCACCTCCGTGCTCACCGCCCAGGTGGGTGCTCTTGCACTGCCTCACAGCTCACCGCACAGGTGGGTCGTCTGGGTTTCTGCACATGACTGCTCTGGTGGTTGCCGCACTGCAGCCAACACGCTGCTAGTCGTGCTCGGCACCTCCGTGCTCACCGCACAGGTGGGTTGGTCACTGCACAGGTGGGTTGGTCACTGCACAGGTGGGTTGGTCACTGCACAGGTGGGTTGGTCACTGCACAGGTGGGTTGGTCACTGCACAGGTGGGTTGGTCACTGCACAGGTGGGTTGGTCACTGCACAGGTGGGTTGGTCACTGCACAGGTGGGTTGGTCACTGCACAGGTGGGTTGGTCACTGCACAGGTGGGTTGGTCACTGCACAGGTGGGTTGGTCACTGCACAGGTGGGTTGGTCACTGCACAGGTGGGTTGGTCACTGCACAGGTGGGTTGGTCACTGCACAGGTGGGTTGGTCACTGCACAGGTGGGTTGGTCACTGCACAGGTGGGTTGGTCACTGCACAGGTGGGTTGGTCACTGCACAGGTGGGTTGGTCACTGCACAGGTGGGTTGGTCACTGCACAGGTGGGTTGGTCACTGCACAGGTGGGTTGGTCACTGCACAGGTGGGTTGGTCACTGCACAGGTGGGTTGGTCACTGCACAGGTGGGTTGGTCACTGCACAGGTGGGTTGGTCACTGCACAGGTGGGTTGGTCACTGCACAGGTGGGTTGGTCACTGCACAGGTGGGTTGGTCACTGCACAGGTGGGTTGGTCACTGCACAGGTGGGTTGGTCACTGCACAGGTGGGTTGGTCACTGCACAGGTGGGTTGGTCACTGCACAGGTGGGTTGGTCACTGCACAGGTGGGTCGCCTGCAGTGCAGTGTAGCGCAGGTGGGTCTTTCTGTCTCTTGCAGGGCGTGCACATCACCGCTTCCACATATCAGCCCCCAGGTGCTATGTGTAGCACAAGTGCCTCGCTCACCAGCTGTGTGAGTCACTCTGTCCTGCCCTTCCCCTCCCCTCCCCACCTTCCACCCCCTCAGGCGGGCCTATCAATGGCCCTGGGCGCGTTTCTGGCGGCTGCTGCTAGCAGAGACGGAGTTTGCCCTGCAGGTGGAGTCCGATATCAACCCCTACCTACCTTGAACCCCCTCGCCCTCCCCTACCCTACCCCCACTACCTCCCCTCCCTTCCCCGTACCTCTCTCTGTGCAGGCGGGCCTATCAATGGCGCTTGGAGCATTTCTAGCGGGGCTGCTACTAGCAGAGACAGAGTTTGCTCTGCAGGTGGAGTCGGATATCAACCCCTACCGCGGCCTGCTGCTCGGGCTCTTCTTCATGACTGTAAGTCAACACGATACGTGACAGTGATTGTCCCTCTGACCCAGTCATCTTTCTGAACCGAATGCTCTGTGCGCATGTGGGACAGCACCATCCCTCACCTTCCATTCCCCCTCTCCCCTCCCCCCCTCCTGCTAACCCCACTCCCAGGTGGGCATGTCAATCGACCCCAAGCTTCTGATCGCGTGTTTCCCCCTCATCATCGCATCGATAGCGGCGCTCATTATCGGCAAGACATCCCTCATAACTCTTTCTCCTTTACGTTTGTGCCTTTCCCCCTCTCGCTTCCCTCTCTGCCCTCCACTTTTCCCATCCGTCACAGGTGGGAATGTCCATAGACCCCAAGCTCCTGATCGCACGATTCCCCCTCATCATCGCATCAATAGCGGCGCTCATCATCGGCAAGACAGCGCTCATAACGCTCTTCTCGTCCCCCCTTCCGATTGTGCCCCTGCCTCCCCTCTTCCTTCTCGCCTTCCATGCCCCCCTCCAGGTGGGCATGTCAATCGACCCCAAGCTGCTCATAGCGCGCTTCCCTCTCATCATCGCATCGATAGCGGCGCTCATTATTGGCAAGACAGCGCTCATAACAGCCATGGGTCGCTCCTTCGGTCTCTCCACCATCGCTGCTGTGCGCACTGGCCTGCTGCTGGCGCCTGGAGGAGAATTTGCCTTTGTTGCTTTCGGGGAAGCCGTGCAAAAGGTACGGACAATGGGGGTCGGGGCGTTGACAAGGTGAGGTAAGCGCCAGGGATAGCTGAATGGTCTGCGCCCATAACAGCAATGGGGCGCTACTTTGGTCTCTCCACCATCGCTGCTGTGCGCACTGGCCTGCTGCTGGCTCCGGGAGGGGAGTTCGCCTTTGTTGCTTTTGGAGAAGCTGTGCAGAAGGTACGGACGATGGGGGTCGGGGCATTGACAAGGTGAAGGTGCAGCCCTCATAACAGCCATGGGTCGCTCCTTCGGCCTCTCCACCATCGCTGCTGTGCGCACTGGCCTGCTGCTGGCACCTGGAGGAGAATTTGCGTTTGTTGCTTTTGGAGAAGCCGTGCAGAAGGTACGGAGATGTTGAGGATGTTTGTTTTCAGGTCTCCTCTCTGCTCTTTCTCATCGTCAGCCTTTTCTTTCCAGCTCTGCTTGTATTTGCACACACAACCTCCCACCTTCTCCTTGTTCTCTCCTCTCCCACATCAGGGCATCATGCCGGCGCAGCTCTCATCACTGCTCTTCCTAATCGTCGGCATCAGCATGGCCATCACGCCCTGGCTTGCGGGTTTCGGTCAGCTGCTGGCAGCGCGGTTCGACCAGCAGGACGTGAGGAGCTTAGAGCCACAGGAGACAGAAACGGACGACCTGCAGGGGCACATCATCATCTGTGGCTTCGGCCGGGTGGGGCAGATTATTGGGCAACTGCTATCCGAGCGCCTCATCCCCTTTGTCGCCCTCGACGTGCGCACGTGAGTCACACCTCTCGTCGCCCCTGCTCTCTCCAAAGCTGCATGCATGGATGCATACGCCTGGGCTGTCTGCACTGGTTCTCCCCTCCGCATGTGAGGAGTCTGGAGCCGCAGGAGACAGAGACGGACGACCTGCAGGGGCACATCATCATATGTGGGCAGCACGGCTGCACGGACGTGCTGCACAAGGTGGGGGCGAAAGGGTGCGGAGCAGATGCAATTATTCTTCATGCCATCTGAACCTTGTCTCCCTCCCTGTCCATGAGAGAGTGAGCGCGGGTCAGTCCCTGGACCTGCTCGTCTATTTTGGCGATGCGGGCAGGGACGTGCTGCACAAGGTGGGGGCAGAGCGAAAGCAATCACCTGGGTGGTACCTGATCCTCATCCCTCTCCCTGCATCTTTTCCTCCTTTTCACGCCTCCCAGTGAGAGAGTCAGTGCAGGGCAGTCCCTGGACCTGCCAGTGTATTTCGGCGACGCGGGCAGCAGGGACGTGCTGCACAAGGTGGGGGCAGAGCGGGCTGCGGCGGCCGTCATTACTCTCGACACACCCGGAGCCAACTACCGCGCGGTGTGGGCGCTGACTCGCAACTTCCCACACATCAAGACGTTTGTGCGCGCCCATGACGTCGACCATGGGATCAACCTGGAGAAGGCTGGCGCCACTGCTGTGAGCTGGGGGGATGGAGGAGTGGGGAGAGTGGGGAGGGAAGTGTGGGAGAAGGGGCAAGGGGGAGAGGTGGAGAGGGGAAAGGTGGGGCGGGAGGATGGTGATTGGTTGGCTGTCAGAAGGAGTGGATATCCTTGTAACTAACTCTTTTGCTCTACTCCCCCCTCCCCTTTCCTCCCCTCCTCCCTCCCCCCCTTGTTGACGAACCTTGTACTTGTCCCACCACTGCCTATGTCCCATTTCACCTTACCCTTGCTTACACTTGCCCACCCCTGCTCACACCTGCTCACCCCTGCTTACACCTGCTCACCCCTGCCCCCGCATGGCCCAGGTGGTGCCAGAGACGTTGGAGCCGAGTCTGCAGCTGGCTGCAGCCGTGCTCGCCCAGGTGCGTGCCAGGGATTTTTGGAGGGGGGAAGAAAGGGGGAAGGACGGCTGTACTGCTGTGGAGAACTGCATTGCAGTGGATTCATTTATACATGCACTACTTGTTGCTTTGATTATATGTGAGGGCTGTCTGTAACACATGCTGCTGTTGCCGGCATCCTCTCATCTCATCTCTCGACCCCCAAAACACTCATTCACCTCCCCATCCCCCACTTCCCCCATCACTTTATCCTCCTCAACACCATGTATGCCACGTCAGGCCAAGCTCCCGCCAGCGGAGATTGCTGCCACACTGGACGACTTCAGAGTGCGACACCTGGCAGACCTCAACGAGGTGAGCTGACACGTCAGCCGCCCAGCAAGATTGTTTTGTCTGTATATTAGCATCTGTTTGCGTGTTACATGCTGCTGCACTCCTGTAGTCTCATTATTCACAAACGTCCATTTCACTCCCCCATTGGTACTATTTGTGACAATCTCCCATTCACCGTATCTGTTTCATCTCACACCCTCCTTGCAGACATCAATGGGCTTTGCATCATCATAAGCTCAAGGGCACCGCCAAAGTGTCATGTCAAACTGATTAATTTTTCTTTGATTGAAACTGAACCAAACTCTTGTGGTGTTTTCTCAACTGAACATTGCCGCCTCATTCTGTAAAGCAGATATGGTACTGGTACATTGTTACATTTTCAGGCTTATACGGTAATATTCATTGTTTACAAGTACTTCCTGACTAAACAACCAAACCCCTTTGTTGCCAGGTCATACTTGGTGCACCTGACACCACCTCAGGTCAGGATGCACTACCGTAGATGGTTCCACTTGCGCTCCAGGAATCATGGAACATTATCATGGAAGTCAGGACTGGTGGGTTTCATGAAACTAAAAGTGCTACACAAGTTCCTGTCAGAATCAAGTGAGCGTTACACTATCGTCCGAAATAGAATAAATCAAGGATAATGTGTCAGAAATCAGCGGGGATGAACCCTATTTTCAATCGCACTATGCTCAGCATGCGAGCCTTTAGACGTCATGCTATCCGTGCCTGAAATCCTCAAACCCAACGCCTCTTCTGAATCCCTTCCCTCCACTCCCTTACCCAAGAGACTGCCACTTTCTTGCCCACTAACCGCCCCGCTCTTGTCTGTGCTTTCCGTGCTTGTACACCCACTAACACCTCCGAAGCCTTCCATACCATCCACATCCTCGCTAACGAGTGCTCTCATTACAGGCTCAACGGGAGCAGCCTCCCTCTCGCCTTTACCAGTACAGTACTTCTGAATCAAATCGTCGATTCGGTGCGCTACAGCCTTCATGTCTGGGCGGCGTGTGCATGGCATCTTGAGGCAGTCAAGAGCAATATCTGCAAACTCCACTATAGCGTCCTCTGGAACCTCCATCGAAGGGTCTTTCAGTAGGTCTAGCTCGTAATCCGCCACCCTCTGGGCCGCCTGGTGGTGGGGAGAGGGGATGCACTTGTTAGTGCACGGCATCTTCAGGCAGTCAAGAGCAATGTCTGCAAACTCCACTATAGCGTCCTCTGGAACCTCCATAGAAGGGTCTTTAAGTAGGTCTAGCTCGTAATCTGCCACCCGTTGTGCCGCCTGGTGGGAAGAGGGGATGCATCAGGTAGTGCACAGCATTCTAAGGCAGTCAAGAGCAATGTCTGCAACAACTATAGGGTCCTCTGCAACCATTATTGAGAGGTCTTTCAGCAGGTCTAGCTCGTAATCCGCCACCCGTTGAGCCGCCTGGTGGTGGGGAGGGGATGAATATCGTGCATGTTCTCAATCACTGCTGCAGGTGCAGCTAGTTTGAAGTTTTACAGTTGGAACAGTGGAGCTCGCAGAGAGAGGGCATAGAGAGCCTAGGAATCTCTGCACCAGTGCGGAGCTGAGGCAGAGAGACTGAGAGCGCACTCACCCACGTGGCGATGTGGTAGTCCTCTTCACTCATCACTGCTGGCCGGCCTGTCAGCATCTCCAGCAGCACCACTCCAAAGCTGCACGGCAGGAACGGTCACAGGGGACACAGCAGACACAGGCAGGGAGCCTGGCGCATCAATGACTGCAGTCCGAGGGCAGTCCGGTGGAATAGAATCTGACATTTGATTAGGCGCACAGCCTGTCCACGTCATCTACCCACCTGTAAACATCAGCCTTGGGAGAAACCAAACCACCAGTGCATGATTGTAGTCCCGGTCCACATACCCCGGCGTGCCAGCAATCCTTGTTAATCACACCCCTGTGTGACCTGCTTGAGCAGCCCAAAGCCTTTCCGAGGAATCTGAATGATCTCCATCCACCCACCCACCCGCACGTCCACCCACCCACCTGTACACGTTTGACTTGGGGGACACCACCCGTGTGCGATTGTAGTCCAAGTCCACATATCTTAGTGGATCAAGGCGCGCTCGTGGACCAAGGCGCGCTCGTGGACCAAGGCGCGCTCGTGGACCAAGGCGCGCTCGTGGACCAAGGCGCGCTCGTGGACCAAGGCGCGCTCATACCCCGGCGCGCCTGCAATCCGCGTGGCACCCCTGCATGAACTACGAGAGAGATGGCTTAACGAATCCCACCCACCCACCCGCTCACCCATTCACCCACCCACTCACCTGTACACGTCAGTCTTGGAAGACACCACCCGAGTGCGATTGTAATCCGGGTCCACATACCCCGGCGTGCCCGCGATCCGCGTGGCACCCCCCTCCCCGTCCCCCTCGGTGAGCTGCTTGAGCAGCCCAAAGTCAGCGAGCTTGGCTTGCAGCGAGTCGGTGACGAGGATGTTGGCTGGCTTTACATCGCGATGAATGATTGGTGTGCTGAAGCTGTGCAGGTATGCCAGGCCTTCCGCTGCTCCTAGTGCTATCTTGAGACGTTGATGGAAGGTGAGGGGGCCTGGAGGGGGGTGTGGTGTGGACAGGGGAGAAAGAGGGGTGGCGGGCTTCACATCGCGGTGCACGATGGGCACACTGAAGCTGTGCAGGTATGCCAGGCCTTCTGCTGCTTCTAGGGCGATTCTCAGGCGCTGGTGGAAGGTGAGCGGGCCTGCAGGGGGGCGGTTTGGGAGCATTGCGGGAGGGGAATGAGGGGAGAATGAAGCTGTGAGCACTGTGCTTGCAGTCCCCATTCGCCCACATTCATACACCAGAATGTTGCGATATGCCAAATCGTGTATGGTAACTAGGGACCTTCAGCACTCACACTTGGCGTGTTGAGTGTGGTGCTTCAGGTCGCCATTCCCCACATACTCGTACACCAACACACCTGCCCATGACTCCTGCCCTCTACACACAGACTATGTTCCTGCTCATGCCGTACTGTCTCTAGCAACTCACACTTGGCGTGGTGGATGTGGTGCTTCAGGTCCCCGTTGCCCACATACTCGTACACCAACACCTGCTCCTGCCGCCCACTCTCCACCTGCATGTCCACACAGAACCCCAGCAGCCGCACCAGGTTCTCATGCCGCAGCGTTGCCATGGCTCGCACCTGTGCACAACAAGCAGGGAGTTGATGAGGAGCGGGAGGGAGCACGTATGTAAGGTAACCCCCTGTTCCGCGTTGTGCTTTTTGCCCCTCATCCGCTCTCCACCTGCATGTCCACACAGAACCCCAGCAGCCGCACCAGGTTCTCATGGCGCAGCGTTGCCATGGCTCGCACCTGTGCATAAAGTGGAGTGGGGGAGAGGATTGGGAGCAGGAGCGAGCACATGGATGAACTTCTGTTTTCCCTTGGGCTGTTGTGTTGTTCCCCTTGCCCGCTCCCCACCTACATCTCCCCTGTGCTTTGCATTGCAGATCAACTCCTCCTCACATGGGTGTGCTGCCTTCCAAAGCACCTCCGTCTCAAAGTCGTGCGTCATCACTTCACATAGTTTCACGGCCCACATCTCCCGCGTGTGATGGGACTATTTTTGAGTCGACTAAGAAAATCTTCTAACCTGCCTCTCCTGTCTCCCCACCCACCCATGCACCTCCTTCTCAAAGTCGTTGGTCATGACGCGGCATCGCTTCACGGCCCACATCTCCCCTCTGGGAGACACCCCCAGGTACACCATTGCAAAGCCCCCCCTTAACCTGCCTCTCTCCCCATTCAACCATAGACACACCTCTTTCTCGAAGTCATTCGTCATCACTCTACATCGCTTCACGGCCCACATCTCCCCTTGCGGCGACACTCCCAGGTACACCGTTGCAAAGCCGCCCCGCCCCAGCCGGTTTGCCTCAGCCCAGTTGTCGGTGGCTTGCACGAGCTGCTGCAGGGAGAACTCGTGACACACGTCCAAGTCGCCCCACTTGCCTGGTATAAGATGAGACAGGAGGAGGAGGGAGAGTGGTGGGGAAATGTGGTGGGGAGTGGGGTACTGAGTTCATCATGTTAATATTGCTGAGAGTTATTTTGCTGAGCGATCAGGTACGTGAAGGATGCGTCACAATCACTCTTGAGAGAATTCTGACAAAGGTTGGTTGAGGGTTTTGCGGGCCACTCACGGCGGCGTTTGGGGAGGAGAAACCACACGAGGGTAGCTGCGAGGAGAGCAAGCCCAAAGAAGCAACCCAGTGCGATGCCTGCCATGGCTGCCGGTGATAGGCCTGGTGGAAGGGGGTAACAAGGAGAGGAAGAGGAAGAGAGGAGGAGAGGAGGAAGAGAAGGAGGACATTGCAAGCATTTCCAAGGAAGCAAGCAGCCCAGGATGGACCCAGGTGAAACCCCCAGCGTGGTTCTGGTGTGCGCAGATCGACCCACCTGCAGTCTACCTTCAGCGTGGTGAACGTTTCAGAACTGTTGTCAGTGTGGAGAGGAGAGGAGATGAGACCCACCCACCTGGACCAGGCACCGTGGTGGTGGTGAGAATGACGCACGTGGACCCGTTACCGCTGTCAAACGCACTGTACCCCGCGTCACACTGGCACGAGAAGTTGGCAGTTAAGCCCTGGGAAGAGTCCGCTCCCTGGGGGGGCGGCACACAGGCGCCATGGCCATCACAGGGGCCGTTGTCCGTGATGCTGCAGAACGCCCTGCATGCCGCTGCCGTGCGCTGGGAGAATGAGGGCGAGGTGGACGAGGAGGGGGAGGAGGAGGAAGAGGAGGAGGATGAGGAGGAGGAAGGGGGGAAATGGAGGAGTTGGGAGGAGTGGAGGGGTTGGAGTAGGATGTGGCAGGGCAGGAGAGGGGGGCGGTGGGCTGGAAGCAGTTGTGTGCCAGGCTGGCCTGCCCCCGCTTGTACTGCCGTGCCACCACCAGTGGTGCTCTGGTGGAGCAGGGGTGGGATGGGCGGACAGGGAAAATGGGTGGGAGGGCGGAGGGAGGGAAGGAGGGCGGGAAGGAGGGGATGGTGGGAGGAAGTAGGGGGATGACTCAGGTATAGCACGAACCAAAAGAGTTTGCCACAGAAAGCATCTAGCTTAAGAAGCACCCATTATGGGAGGCACCCACCTTAAGAAACACCCACCCACCTGCCCGCCTCTGACTGTACGACACAGTTCCCTCCTGCCTGGACACTCAAATCCCCCGGCTCCACAGTACTCTCCCCCGCGATTTCGGACGGGCAGAACTGGCAGCCGCTGGCGAAGAGCACGGGGTCGCCGTAGAAGTAGTTGTGGGCGAGGTTGAGGAGGCCGCCCGCTGTGGGCACTATGCCCTCAAAGTTGCGGTTGATGCGGCCGTAGAAGCTGTTGTGACTCACGTCGCTGTATGGGGTGGTGAGGGGGTTGATTATGGTTGCATTGAATGGAGTAAATAAGCAATCCGGGATGGAAGAGAAACAGTTCTTTGAGGAATTTGAAAAAAGAAGAGCTAACCAGCAAGCGGGGAAACGAGGAGTAGTGATCAAGGGGACTCAAAACAGGCTAAGAGAACAAGGTATGGGCTGGAGGAAGCGAACAGACAGTCTGTTAAGGCAGGGAAAGGCGTTGAAGAGACAGTCGGGGATGGGGCCATAGAAGCTGTTGCTGCTCAGGTACCTGCGAGTTGGTGGGACGCAGAATGCATTAGTGAGTGATGGCTATGAGTGGGGCAATGAGGGAATGAGTGATGGAAGTGAAGTGATGATAGAAGATGGAGGGCAGAAAGAGTGGGTGAGTGGTGGAAGAGGGGTGAGAGAATGAGTGATACCAATGGCTTACAGGATTTCTAGACGGGAGAGGTTACAGAAGGAGGACGGAAGCTTCCCTGTGAGGTTGTTGCGACTCAGCCAGCTGCAAGGCAGCAGCAGCATGATTGTAGCAGCCGCACAGGAAAGCATGAGTATGACTACCAACAGATGAAACTATCAACAGAACATTATTGTATCAGACAAGGTTGAGAATGCTAAGGAAGGAAATGAGTGAGACGAAGAATCTCAATAAACGAAACGAGAGGTGAGAGTTTCAGCAACCGGGTGCACATATTACAGGTGGCGCAGGGATGAGAGCTGGCCTAGGTTGTCAGGAAGGGAGCCCTGAATGCTGTTGTGCGCTAGCAGCCTGGTGGCCAGGGCCCAGGGGGGGTAGAGTGGCGAGGGCAACAGTGAGTGAGTTGTGAACTGACGCCCCTCAAAGCTTGTGCACAGGGCCCACACACGGGTAGGTGGCGAGGAGAGGGAAATGATGAGGGAGCGACAATAGAGGCCCATGGTGCAGTGATGGGATCCACACAACAATATGAATGATCCTGGATGACCTTATAGTGGATGCGAAAGTGTAGGTCCCGTGCCAGTGCGTGCTTCCGTGTCAGTTTGCTGTTTGATGGCAGTGCATTGCATGCGAGCGTGGTTTCACTGCTTGCACTGGTCTCAGTCGGATGGGCTCACAGGGACTCGAGGGAGGTGATGGAGAAGAGGCTGGTTGGGAAGGGTCCTTCCAGCTGGTTGCTGTGCAGGCTACTGCACATGCCACAGCACATGCCACAGCAGATGCCACAAGACATGTAGAGAGAATGTCAAACAGCATGTCACACGTGTAAAGGAGCAAGTTACACATGCCAAGGCTAACTTCTACGTGCTTTCGTTTCGTACACACAAGTGTTGGTTTGGCAGATGATAACGAAACAACGAAACCACGAGCACACACACACCGCGACTTTGTTTCACTTATGGGGCATCACAAAAACTCTTCAACTAGTGCAAGAAAATGCATGTGCCTCAAAAGCAAAAGCTCAGAAAACAGCGAGAAGGTGAGAATCAGCGAGCGACTGACAGGATGCGCAGGGAGGTGAGGGTGGAGGTGGAAGCAGGGATAGTGCCGGTGAGGTTGTTGCCTGCCAGGAACCTGATGGCCGGGCAAGGGCGGAAAGTAGCAACACAATGCACGGGCACGGGAAGAAGAAATGCATGTGACGAACGATGCAATGGCTTTGCGCTGTCGGCAACACACAAGGTTGCCCCACCCGCATGGCAGTGGCGGCACAGCAGTGGCCGAACAGTGCGTATAGTAACACGTTAAGTGAGACACCGGTCGTAGCATCATAAGGCTACCCAACCGTACACACCCCACGCACATGCACAGCAGCGACCGTACAGTGACCATACAGCGACCACACAGTGACCATACAGCGACCATACAGTGACCACACAGTGACCGCACAGTGACCGACCGTACAGTGCATGGACAGACGTGTTCCAGCGAGAGAAAGCTTGAGCCAACTCACAAATTGCTGCCACCCCAGGTTGGAACTCACAAGTTCCAACCCCTACCAGGGGTATAAAATTAATGTACAGTGAACGTACAGTGCATAGAGGGACGTGTTCCAGCGAGAGAAGTCCGGGAGAGGCCCTGCAAGCCCATTGCCCTCCAAGTGCCTGCAGTGCAGAGATGCGCAGGGAGGGCAGCAGTAGAGGGGTTGGCGCCCCGGCTCGATGCAGTGGTGAGACAAAGTCAGGGCTCAAGTTTGGTGCGGTGTGGCCCATAGCTGGTACAATGCGGCTCACAGTTGTTCCAGGGAAGCTGAGGTTTGAAGGGCGGAGGGCAGGGCGCCGGAGAGCAGGTTGTGCGACGCCATGCTGCACACACACACGCACACGCACAGATATCCATTCTATTTTCCATCCGGAAATCTCAGAGCATCAAGAGATGTTAGTCACGGTGCGTTTCCGCCAGGAAAATGTTCCAGAGCAACGAAGAAAGAAGATGGGATTCTTGTGAGCCAGAACAAACCATTGCTCATGCTATCTCCTGAGCTCCAGATTAAAGCTTCTGGACATATGCTTTTGGAAAATGGCTTGAGAGTTGAGGCTCACAGGGTGCGGAGAGATGTGAGGGAGAAGAGAGCGCCTGGGATGCTGCCATGAAAGCGGTTGTCACTCACGTCCCTGCATGCCGTGTGGCACAGCAGAGAAGAGCAGAGCAGCAACAGCAGAGAGCACAGCAGGGAGGGCGACGAGAGAGGTGAGAGAACACAGGAGTGAAGTGGACAGGTCAGAGCGGTGAGAAAGGCAGTCACGACAGGACTGATGTCGAGCATCATAACGAATGAATGAATCAAGGAATAATGCGTGGAATGGCATGCATGTTGATACATGAGAGATTCGCCTTACAGGTCGTTGAGGTTCACCAGAGCAGACACACCCAGTGGGATGGAGCCAGAAAAGCCGTTGCCCTGCAGGCCACTGCGGGAGGGAGGGAGGGAGGGAGGCAGGGAGGGAGGGAGGGAGGGAGGGAGGGAGGGAGGGAGGGAGGGAGGGAGGGAGGGAGGGAGGGAGGGAGGGAGGGAGGGAGGGAGGGAGGGAGGGAGGGAGGGAGGGAGGGAGGGAGGGAGGGAGGGAGGGAGGGAGGGAGGGAGGGAGGAAGGGAGGGAGGGAGGCAAGAGGAGGAACAAGGTTGGGATGCTCTGCACTGCTGTGAGGCTGGGATGCAGAGTGCTGCAAGGTCTAGAGTGCAAGCAAGGCACATCATGGTAAGAAAACTGTAGACTGCTTGATGAGCGCATGGCATCAGCATGGCACATCAGTGTTGCCACGTCAGCATGGGATGACGTACAGGGCGTTGAGGTTGGTGAGGGTGAGGACAACCGAGGGGAAGCTTCCTGAGAACTGGTTCTCACCCAACTCGCTGATAGAGAGAGAATTGATGGGGGGGCAACACAAGGGGTGTGCATGATCAGCCAATCTTCTAGCACCCCAAGAATGAAGGGAGCAAAAGGCAGGGAGAATGGCGAGGGGAAGGGAAAGCGCGCAGACAGAAAAGGGTGGCAGCGCAAGGGAGAATGGAGCCTTGCAAAAAGGGAAGGGGGAGAGGTGGGAAGACAGTGAGGAGGTGTTGAGCGGTGAGAGAGGCTGTGCTCACAGGAACTGGAGGGCGGTGAGCGATGAGAAAGAGGCGGGCACAGTCCCTGAGAAGTTGTTGCTCTTCAAGTTCCTGCCATGCGTGCATGTGGGCAAAGGATAGTAAGGGCGTGCCATGGGGTGGGGCGAAGCTTGGCAAGGGTAGATGCGCCATTGCAACTTTGGGTGATGATGGTGAGGGTGAGTGACAGAGGGGAGACGAGCTGAAAGGAGGGACATTGCATGCACATGGACTGCCAGAGTGGAAGCATAGCATTGCTCACAGCATGGCGAACCATGGCATGTGCTCACAAAATGTGGAAACCAGGAAACCGGGAAACCGTAAAACCGGGCAACCGGGCAACCGGGAAACCGGGAAACCGGGCAACCGGGCAACCGGGAAACCGGGAAACCGGGAAACCGGGAAACCGGGAAACCGGGAAACCGGGCAACCGGGCAACCGGGAAACCGGGAAACCGGGAAACCGGGCAACCGGGCAACCGGGCAACCGGGCAACCGGGAAACCGGGCAACCGGGAAACCGGGCAACCGGGCAACCGGGAAACCGGGAAACCGGGAAACCGGGAAACCGGGAAACCGGGCAACCGGGCAACCGGGCAACCGGGAAACCGGGAAACCAGGAAACCGGGAAACCGGGCAACCGGGCAACCGGGAAACCGGGCAACCGGGCAACCGGGCAACCGGGCAACCGGGAAACCGGGCAACCGGGAAACCGGGAAACCGGGAAACCGGGAAACCGGGAAACCGGGCAACCGGGAAACCGGGCAACCGGGCAACCGGGCAACCGGGCAACCGGGAAACCGGGCAACCGGGAAACCGGGAAACCGGGAAACCGGGAAACCGGGAAACCGGGAAACCGGGCAACCGGGAAACCGGGAAACCGGGAAACCGGGAAACCGGGCAACCGGGCAACCGGGCAACCGGGCAACCGGGAAACCGGGCAACCGGGCAACCGGGAAACCGGGAAACCGGGAAACCGGGAAACCGGGAAACCGGGAAACCGGGCAACCGGGCAACCGGGAAACCGGGCAACCGGGAAACCGGGAAACCGGGAAACCGGGAAACAGGGAAACCGGGCAACCGGGCAACCGGGCAACCGGGAAACCGGGAAACCGGGAAACCGGGCAACCGGGCAACCGGGAAACCGGGAAACCGGGAAACCGGGCAACCGGGCAACCGGGCAACCGGGCAACCGGGCAACCGGGCAACCGGGCAACCGGGAAACCGGGCAACCGGGCAACCGGGAAACCGGGCAACCGGGCAACCGGGCAACCGGGAAATCGGGCAACCGGGAAACCGGGAAACCGGGAAACCGGGAAACAGGGAAACCGGGCAACCGGGCAACCGGGAAACCGGGAAACCGGGAAACCGGGCAACCGGGCAACCGGGCAACCGGGCAACCGGGAAACCGGGCAACCGGGCAACCGGGAAACCGGGAAACCGTAAAACCGGGCAACCGGGCAACCGGGAAACCGGGAAACCGGGAAACCGGGAAACCGGGAAACCGGGCAACCGGGCAACCGGGCAACCGGGAAACCGGGAAACCGGGAAACCGGGCAACCGGGCAACCGGGCAACCGGGCAACCGGGAAACCGGGAAACCGGGAAACCGGGCAACCGGGCAACCGGGCAACCGGGCAACCGGGCAACCGGGAAACCGGGCAACCGGGCAACCGGGCAACCGGGCAACCGGGCAACCGGGAAACCGGGAAACCGGGAAACCGGGCAACCGGGCAACCGGGCAACCGGGCAACCGGGCAACCGGGCAACCGGGAAACCGGGCAACCGGGCAACCGGGAAACCGGGCAACCGGGCAACCGGGCAACCGGGAAATCGGGAAACCGGGAAACGGGGAAACCGGGCAACCGGGCAACCGGGCAACCGGGCAACCGGGCAACCGGGCAACCGGGAAACCGGGCAACCGGGCAACCGGGCAACCGGGCAACCGGGCAACCGGGAAACCGGGAAACCGGGAAACCGGGCAACCGGGCAACCGGGCAACCGGGCAACCGGGAAACCGGGCAACCGGGCAACCGGGCAACCGGGCAACCGGGCAACCGGGAAACCGGGAAACGGGAAAAACCGGGCAACCGGGCAACCGGGCAACCGGGCAACCGGGCAACCGGGAAACCGGGCAACCGGGAAACCGGGCAACCGGGCAACCGGGCAACCGGGAAACCGGGAAACCGGGAAACCGGGCAACCGGGCAACCGGGCAACCGGGAAACCGGGAAACCGGGCAACCGGGCAACCGGGAAACCGGGAAACCGTAAAACCGGGCAACCGCGCAACCGGGCAACCGGGAAACCGGGCAACCGGGAAACCGGGAAACCGGGAAACCGGGAAACAGGGAAACCGGGCAACCGGGCAACCGGGCAACCGGGAAACCGGGAAACCGGGAAACCGGGCAACCGGGCAACCGGGCAACCGGGCAACCGGGAAACCGGGAAACCGGGAAACCGGGCAACCGGGCAACCGGGCAACCGGGCAACCGGGCAACCGGGCAACCGGGAAACCGGGCAACCGGGCAACCGGGAAACCGGGCAACCGGGCAACCGGGCAACCGGGAAACCGGGAAACCGGGAAACGGGGAAACCGGGCAACCGGGCAACCGGGCAACCGGGCAACCGGGCAACCGGGCAACCGGGCAACCGGGAAACCGGGCAACCGGGCAACCGGGCAACCGGGCAACCGGGCAACCGGGCAACCGGGAAACCGGGAAACCGGGAAACCGGGCAACCGGGCAACCGGGCAACCGGGAAACCGGGCAACCGGGCAACCGGGCAACCGGGCAACCGGGCAACCGGGAAACCGGGAAACCGGGAAACCGGGCAACCGGGCAACCGGGCAACCGGGCAACCGGGAAACCGGGAAACCGGGAAACCGGGCAACCGGGCAACCGGGCAACCGGGCAACCGGGCAACCGGGAAACCGGGAAACCGGGCAACCGGGCAACCGGGCAACCGGGAAACCGGGAAACCGGGAAACCGGGAAACCGGGCAACCGGGCAACCGGGCAACCGGGCAACCGGGCAACCGGGAAACCGGGCAACCGGGCAACCGGGCAACCGGGCAACCGGGCAACCGGGAAACCGGGAAACCGGGAAACCGGGAAACCGGGCAACCGGGCAACCGGGCAACCGGGAAACCGGGCAACCGGGAAACCGGGAAACCGGGAAACCGGGAA